TGAAATTGAACGATTGTGGTATCAGGCTGAAGCATAACAAAATTGAAAAAAGTGAAGGGGGTCTGAATACTTTCCGAATGCACTGCATTTAAGTGTTCCACTTGTTTTTGAAATTCCTTTAGAGCTATACTGTTTATTTGGACATATTGAAACTAGAGAGATGATTCTGATAATTCTGATGAAAGAATCTTGAAATATTTCATCCTTGTCTTATTAATAATTAGATTAATTAGATTGTGCAGTAGGTACATAACAAAATTGAAAAAAGTGAAGCGGGTCTGAATACTTTCTGAATGCACTACACTTGACTGAATTTGAAAATTTATAACACAAAATTCTGAACATTTGCTGGGGCTTATCTGTAAGTTGGTACTGAAATACTGTTCAGAAACTAAACAAAGTACCATATGATCAAATGGGTTTAGAATTTAAACAGAACAATTGACAACAATGGGATTATCAATGGAAGAAAAAAATAATTTTATAAGAGAAAACTGGTATATGATGTTTAACTGACAGTATCTTACTGCAATATTGATTGCTAAAATAGATAATTCATTCTCTGAAAATTGGGAGTTCATATTTGGTAGCAATGCTGTAAAGCCCAACAGTGCTGAAAAATGGTTTATAACTGACACAAATTCTAAAGTTGAATTCTTTTTCTAGCCTGCTATTTATTAAACCTTATATTCTCACAAAGTATACTGAACTGACTTTGCGCAAGGTTACAGCTGCTAAGATACTGTATATTTCTCATTGGAAATATAGAAGAATGGCAAGTTAGGTTGTGGAACACCAAAAGTAACCTCATATTTGAAAAATAACTCTGCTACAGACTTGTATTCATCATGGAAGACATTCCTGGATTTTAATTTCATATATCATCTTATACATCCTGGGTTTTTTTTCTAATATAAGTTTTAACATTTAACTTTTTCTATGACTTGCTAGATAAAGATAGAATTGTTTTAGATTAGGGAGAAATTATTGTAATCTTTTATCTTGATTTTTAATTTATACTGCACAGGTTATTATCCTTATTAATTGTATTTTATCTATAAACTTTATGATAAAAATACCATAAAAGTTAGTTGTAGCTCCCAAAGACTATAACAATGAGATACCTGTTAATAGAGGAGGCTGACAAGATGATATCCTTGCCCCATTGTTTAATTATAATCAGTGCACTAGGTGCTGTGTTTAATGACCTTTCCTATCACCCCTTTCAACAGTTTTAGTTACTTTCATAATGCTTGTAAATGTCCTCCCTATTTACTTTCTGCTTTTCTTACTTTTTCTCGGTGTTCTTTTTAATCTTGATTATATTTTTGAACAATTAATGCAAAAAATAATAATTAAAAAACAACATAAAATCATCAAGAGTTGATTTGAGGGAGGTTTTACTTAGTGGCAGATTAAAGTAGTCTTTATATAGCCCTTTATCATACATGTTGAAGAGCCCAAATTGCCATTTCTTCTTGTGCAGGATTCCTCATCTTGCTGGGTTGTCTGTACTTGGGCCATGGAAGGTTCCCAACTGTTAATACAAAGAGTTGCCTGCCTGTGCTTAAAATTGTTAATTGGCCAATAGAATGACCCTGAAGTAAAATGGTTGTTGACATGTGCTTTGTGGAGACACTTGCCTATTACATGAATTTCAGCTTTTATTGTCATTGTATCAGTATGTAGAGAAATATGTTTACATTTAAACTAAAATGTTATTTGTTCCAACTGTGCAGATTTCTTATGAAACTTAGTCATGAAACTGTGACCATTGAACTGAAAAACGGGACCCAGGTACATGGAACCATTACAGGTATGGAGTTCTGGATGTAGAAATTATTGTACTTATAAATATTAGATTTGTAACTAATTTGTAAAATTCTGGATATTTGGCAGAATACACATGTATCTTATCTTTCACTTAAATAAATCAGGAGTGCATGCATGTGACTGTCCCATTTTATTGAGGCAAGCCAATTGATCTCTTCTAGGTGCTTTGAAGTATAACTACAGCAGTATCTGTCAGCACTGGGAACTGTCTAGAATTGGAATTGCATTCCTGGATTACACTGAAAAAGCAGCTTACCCAAAGACTACTATATAGATTTTTCTATCACAGCAGAACTCCCAGAATTTCTGGCTAGCTATATCACAACTTGTCAAGGGAACAACAGGCCACTCTAGTTATTATATCATTCTTACAGAGCATTACTTTCTCTCTATATTTCATGTTTAATAAAAATCAGTGACAACATTTTCACAAAGGTTTTCATTGTCAAAATAAGGAAGAAATTGTCATTTATACTTTAATACTTGTATGATATTCTAGCTGGGAGTCCTCAGCCTTTTTAAACTGCTGAACACATTTGGTGTCTTAAGCATATGGTGTAGCACTTTTGCAAACTGACTGCTGGGGATTTTCCACTGAACAAAATGGCTGTAATAGGGGACATAATTGGATGTAAAGCACAGATTTATTAGAATATTCCCTCTAGTAAATTCTCCCTTCCATAGGATATTCCGTCCTATCCCTGCATGCCTTTATCTGCAAGTTAGGCACACATCCAAGTAAAGGATCTGGCTGTACCTGCCCATTGTTTATTTTTGAAGAAAGCTTATGTAGACCATTTGGGGCCCATCATTCTTAGAAATAAAGATTGGCTTTGCAGCATATCCGTTTTCCCTTTTTAAAAGTTTTTTTTACTGTAGAATATCAGGTAGAACAAGAGGCCTGATGTTTGCCAAGGGAGGAGATTGTGGGCAGTTGGCTCACTTGTTACCATATTAAAGACCACAGTTCTGGTTGCAGCAAGATTGTGATAGGGGAAAAATTTTTGAATCACCAGAGGATAGGTCAAGTACATGAGTTATGTAAGGAGGGGAGAATTTCTATATCTACCTAAGAAATGTGATTGAGAATATTAGAGAACCACAGATAGTATTTTGTAAGCAATCCAAATGAATTTTTTTTTAAAAATTATTTTTTAAGTGTTTGCTTTATTTATGATCCTCATGATTCTTCCAAAGCTATACTGTGCTGATCAAATATATAGGATACTTACTTTTCTTATCTTACAATAAGTAATTTCTGCTATATGTACAGCCACAGGTAGGCAGTTTTTGGAATAATATAGCCTTCTGTTCCATGAGTTTAGGACATGTTCTATGCTTTATTTTTCAGGAGTGGATGTCAGTATGAATACCCATCTTAAAGCTGTAAAAATGACTTTGAAGAACAGAGAACCTGTCCAGTTGGAGACACTGAGCATTCGAGGCAATAATATCAGATATTTTATTCTGCCAGACAGTTTGCCCCTTGATACTCTGCTGGTGGATGTTGAACCAAAAGTCAAATCCAAGAAAAGGGAGGCAGGTTAGTTCTTGATTTCGGACTACTAAACAGTAAATAACTGCTTTATTTAAGAGCATTTTAATTTAACATTCATGATAGTGCCTAAATAGCAACTTTAATTCTTACTGTAATAGCTTTAAAAATATGTTTAACAACGAGAGGGTTATTTTACATCGATTTGTACCAGTTTGAAAACAAAGGTTGGAAGGTTTCTTTCTCATTTGCTCTTATCATTTTTGTGTGATCATATGATTCAATTTCTGTAGTGATCTTTCATGATTCCTCCCCCCAAATCAGGTTTGACTTTGTAAAACTAAAGTTCTTCTGATTCTTGAGAAATTTCTATAGATCCGTTTGTCATCAAACCAGCTATCAGATGAAGCTAACCTTTGAATGCAGGAGTCACATGCTATCTTTCCTCTCATTTCAAAAAAGTTCTTCCAGAAGGTCTTATATCCCCTACCCCTTGTCTTGTAAATAATGGAGTAGTAGCAGAATCACTTAAATAATTCTTAAATAGCAAATAAATAGTTGTTCATTTACAGAACACTTTTTATATTCCTTGTTGCTCTTCACGTACAGGTAGTCCCCAATTTAAGAACGAGTTCTGTTCCCAAGGTCTATCCTTAAGTCAACTATGTATGTAAGCCGGAACAGTAATATTGTATAGTCCTTGCTTAACGACCGTTCATTTAACAATAGTTCGAAGTTACAATGGCCTCAGAAAAAATGCTTTGCAACCTGTACTTGCACTTACGGCCATCGCAAACTGTTACACTGCCACCTGCAGTCACATGATCAGGATTTGCAACCTTTTTTACAATGGTTATTAAGTGAATCATCACGGTTGTTAAGCAAATCATGTGGTCATTAAGCAAATTCCAGCAAAAAAGTCCATTGGGGAAGCTAGATTTGTTTAATGACCACTTGATTCACTGAACAACTGTGGTGATTCATTTAATGACTGTTGTAAAAATCATAAAATCAGGCCCGGTCACATGGTGACTCGCTTAATGACCGCACTACTTAATGACCAGTTTTCCTGTCCCTATCATGGTTGTTAAGTGAGGACTACCTGTAGTATTGTGTAATTAACTAATTAATAAGTTGTATAGCAAGTTTAAATGTGAAAACATAAACAAATGTTTTACATTAAAAAGTTCTATTGTATTATTGCATTTTTAAAATAAAGTTTTCTCTTTTTCGGGTCAGTTGCAGGAAGAGGGCGTGGAAGAGG